AGCCACTGACAACCAGTCCGTCTGCCATCCCTGGCAGCCCTCGGAATGTCTTCAGTAAATATGGAAGCCCAGGTACCGATGGGTGGCAGCGTCCATGAGCCAAGATTAATTCGTGACAGCCTCCTGGAAACTGAGTTTTAAGCAACCTGAGGGAGGTGGTGCACCTGAATTGGCAGCACTTAGAAACAGCAAAGAAGGCTCTCCAAGAGGGCAAAATGGCCCACCGAAGGTGGGGAAGAGGATGTTAGGCATGGAGGTCAGGGCCTCGGTGTGAGCAGGGTGGCCGGGCCAGAGAGGGCCCATGTGACGAGTCATCAACGATGTGCTCACAGACTCTGGGACCGTTGAGATGAGCAGGTAAAGCTGAATTCAGCAGACAGTGGGAATGTCCGGATCACCAACACTGCCCTGACCATCTCTTATGAGCTAACTTCTTGACACCAAGGAAAGTGAGAGACATGGCCCTAGCCTCGGGAAGCAGACGGTCACTGGGTCTGGGATGTGTTCTGAAAGGCGCAGTAGCTGCCCCACCCCCAGCACAGTGGGAGTTGGAGGGAGACGCCAGGGGGTTCTTGGAGTAGACCATGAAATCAAAGCCTAAATCAGTGTGACACGGGTTAAGTCAGGGAATGGCAATCCAGGCCAAGGGAACAGCCTGAGTGGAGCCCAGAGCAGAGTGAGATGGGCTCCAAGCTACCAACTGTATTTGGGTTAAAAATATTTTTTCTGAAAATTGTATGTCCTATGGATTGTAAAGGGGAGAACTGAGAGGAACAATAGGAAAAAAAAGATTTGAACCAACTCCTTTAAGTTTTTTGAGGATGGGTAAGACCGGAGAGTCTTGTTGGCCCTGCTGGGACTGCTCCTGCAGAGGCAGCCTCCTTTGCAATATTTTAAGACTTCCGTTCCCAGCTGGTGCCCGTATTCCCACCCCGGGTATATGTAAAGACGACATCTTTAAAGAGGGTAAGATGCATTTTCTGGTTGGTTTTTCTATTTTAAACACATTTAGCATTCTCTAGTTTTTAAAGAACGCCTGTAATAGAGCACAGACTCCTTCGTCAACGGTGAAGGGACAGATTTAGGGGCTGCAGCTCAGACATGCGGTGCCAACTAGCTCACAGGGATCCAAGTGTGAGAATCAAATTGTCATTTGATGTCTAGATTTGGCAAAAGCTCAGCACGCCTTGGAGATGGCGGTTGTGGGCCCAAGCTGTGTGACAGGTGCTTCTGGAACTCATTCTCTTTGCCCTTCCTGGCAAAGTCCATCACCGGCTGAAAACTCACGGCCTCCCGCACTCATCAGAGCCTCTCCGGCCAAGGCTGACAGTCTGACCTCTGAAGAGTCAGAATCTTCGCGCTGGGTGAATTTCAAGACCCCTGGTCTGAGACTTCTTCACTAGATGAAAAGGGGCTTCTTCTGTGGTCCCACTAAGAGGGGCAGAGCTGCAGTGAGAACCGGGGGCCTGGCTCATTTTAGGGTACCCCGTTTCTTCCAACCCGGCACACCCCTCTCTGGCCCCTGTCCTATCGACATCCCACTGTTGCCAGCCACAGCTCACACCCTGGTTCTTACATGTAGCAGTTTCCCTGCTCTCCTCGCTTTGACCCTCCGCAGTGCTGGCTCTCTGCACCACTCCTTTTGTGTCCACTTGTCGCAGAGGTGTGCATTTCACTGGGCCCCAGCAGTGTTCCACTGGAGACACCAGGAAGCTTCCTGAGTCATATACTGGAGACTTTAACAAGCAGAAGAAATCTTAGAGACTGACTAGCACAAACTAGCCATTTGACAGACACAGAGACTAAGGCTCAGAGACGGCAGGTGGCTTGCCTGGTCACACAGCCAACCAAAGACAAAACCAGGACTTTAGAACCCAGGTCCTCGGATCCCCTACAGGCCTCTTTTCACATGTGTTTGGGTAACAAATGAGAACAGTCCCGAGGGAACAGAACAGCGGGGAGCTACACTTGAAGGGGAAAGTTGCGGAAAATGTGTCTCCTGGACCCAGCACAAGGCACTACTGAGCAGATGCTCATAAACGCAGAGGACAGAGATGGAGGGAGAGGATGGGCATGCCCAGTGAAGGATGTGGGGGGTTCTCATGGGCACCCTGTGGCTGGGCTTTGGGATACAGGACATGGCACCAGAAACAGCCTATCCCACAGTTACGCCTCAATCTGGGAAGCCAGCGACTGTCAGGAAGGGCGTCCCAGAGGAGGGGAAGGGCACGACCAGGGCACAGTAAGAATGAGAGGTGTGGAAGGAGGGGCGGAGGCAGAGTGGTCCCCGCCTGGGTCTTGCTGGGAAGGTACAGCCTCCAAGGGCACACAAGGAAGCTCCAGGGTAGATGGTTTGCAGAAAAAACGAAACCCACTCTAACAAGGAAAGGCACCACTCATTCAGCAATTATCAGGCGCTAATTACACGCCAAATTCCAAGGAGGAAAAGGCTGACACAGCTTGGCCCTGCTTTCAGGATGTCACTATCCGCAGGGAGACAACTGCAGAGCAGGGAGGCGGGCTGGATAAGAGACGGAAGCAGGGGAGGCCTGGGAGCAGAGTGGGGATTTCACCAGGTCAAGGCAGGGCTGGGCGTCCCAGGCAAGGGGGCCAGAGATGAGGGCAGCCTTGGGCTGAGGCTGGGGCGGGGCCTGGAGAAGTGGCTGGAGAGCAATGGGATGGCTGTCTCTGGAGGTGGTGAGCTTGCCAGGGACTGGAGGTCCAGCTGCCAGGATGTCAGAAGGCATTCCTCGGCTGGATAAGGCTGGACCATCTGGCCAACGTGCCATCCCAGTCCGAAAATGCTCGTCCTACCACAAAGAGTGGAAGATGCTGCTGCACACTACAAACAGCAGCAACCCCACTCAGAAAGGCGGTGAAACTACACCACCCTTGGGACCTCCCGGGACAGGGCCTTCAAGTCTTGCCTGTATCCCATGCTGAGGGCGACATCAGGGACCGAGGACCTCTCAGCTGTGCACTGAGGAAGTCGGCCACTAGGGGACACGCGCCAGCAGTGCTGGGTAGAGACGACATATCTGTGAATTTTATTTATGCTTTCAAAGCCACTTCACTCTTGTTGTTACAAGCATCCTATGAAGTGAGCAGGATAAAGATCATCTCCATTGTGTAAACTACGACACTGGACGGGAGAAATTAAGTGACTTACCTACTTAGGTGGGAGGGCCACCGAGCCTGTGCTAGGAAGGCCTTCCCGGTCCTCTCTCGGAGGAGGAAACTGGGCACATGGAGGGAAACAAATGACATGCTCCACTGGTACAGACGTCAGAGCCAGGAAGAGAGCACTGTGTGGACCCAGTCTGGTGAGGAACTGTAGCTGAACACTACTGTTTGCAAGTAAAACTCCAGGCTGGTCCCCAGAATAATTTCTGGAATCTTACTGGTCTGTGAAGTCAAAAGGACAGGCAACCGCGGGCGCACGGGAAGACCTGGCATTTGGGAATCCTGCAGCAGTTGTCATGACACTGGCAATGGGCCCGAGCCTCTCTCACCTTCTCTGTCTGTCCAAGCATTCCTCGCCCTCCTGGCACCCCTCAAATCCACTTGCCCCCCGATGCTGTTCCACCCGGGCACCCCATTCTCCAAACAGGCCCTCCTTGTAGGCGGCAGAGCACCTTTTGCCTTGAGTGAGTTTCCCCTGGTCTCAGCTCCGTGTGCACAGGCAGGGACCGCCGATCAAACTCAGTCCCAGCACACATGGCCCGTGAGCACCTGGAAGCAGGCTGTTGGGTCAGAGGGCACCTTGGACATGTCCTAACGCAGCCCCCTCCCCTCCCCTTGAGGAGTGAGTGACTCAAGCAGCCAGGAAAGTTTCTCTCGCCCCACCCCTCCCCAGCAATCCAGGCACAGCGCCACAGCCGGGGCAGCTTTTAAAAGCGCAAACCAGGCAGCATTCCTCTTATTAAAGCCTCCTGTAGCTTCCTATTTCTTAGGACTAAATCCAAACTCTTGTGACCGACCAGGAGACCCTCCAAGCCTGGGTCCCTGCCTCCCGCACCCCTGGCACACCCTGCACCCTCCGCCCACTGCGAGGCTCTCCCCTAGACGGATCCAGGCCTGGGTCCCTCACTTCCTGGTCTCCTTGCTGGCCTGCCCTGGTCCTTCACAGGCACGTTTCCGGTCCTCTGGAGCCTGAATTCACCTCAGGTCTTGCGATGGTGTTGTCTCCCCACCAGGTTGTAACCATCCTGGAGGCTGGGCCCTTCTCTGCCACCCCAGGGCCCACAGTGGCACCCAGGGCGTCATGGGTGCTCACGTGCTCACTGTGTGAACAAGTCCATAAAAAGAGGGGGGACGTTGGCCCAGCAGAGCGGAGGGGCCTCAGCCCATGAGCAGTGTGCCCGCGTCGCCCTGCCCGGCCCCTCCACCCACTGACATCTCACGTATTGCCTGCTTTATTTGAGGTGATTCGTGAATGACCAGGAGCAGACCCTCCGGAACACAGCAGACTGGACATCCCACTAAACTAACCCGAGGTCCAGGGTCGTTCCAGACACCAAAACAAATTCTGGGATTTCAGCTGAGCCCTAGGAGAACTAGGCCATTTGGAGACAAACCTGATCTTCCAGAAAGCCCAAGGTTTCTCAGGTAGAGCAGTGTCCTGGACTTGCCCTCCACAAGGAAGGGGGAAGGCAGACGGTGGAAGGCAGCGGCCAAGGCGGTCAGGCAGCTCCACCTCCCCACACCTCCGGACCCCACGGGGAAGCTGGGACCCCAGCCGCACCGAAAGCTCCCCCACGCTTCTCTCCTTCTCCCCATCCTTCCTCCCAGTGCAGCCTATCACAGTTCTCAAGCGGGAGGGGAATTCGGCCCTTGGAACGTCTGAATCTGAGTGAAACAGACAAACCCAACGTGCGCCTGGGACCCCATGCAGTCAGCCCCAGGGACGGGGCGTCAGCGGGGTCACACTCCTGTTGCCCTTAGATGCTGAGGGGACCACGTGGCCCCTCTCCGCCTGTCAGCACACGCTCGACACAAAGCATGGGACGTGAGTTTATTAAAGATGCAAGCAAGCACAGAAGGACCGTGTGTGGTGCTCAGTAATATCCATACAGTACTAAAAATAGAAAAATAGAAAAGAAATTTCACAGAAAGCAGCCTCCCTCCTAGATACACAGAAAAGGAGCTGCCAAGCCCACCATGAATTGCCACAGCCCACCCGCCCTGTTCACGTTGCTCTCCTTTACAAACCGCCCATGAGAGTACGTCCGCACCGCTCCCAGGACAGCAAGAAGGAACAGAGCCGCTCACACAGCAGTGACCCCTCTGAGCACCACTGGGCATGGCCCAGCCACAAAAATAACCGAGACAACCCATCCCGCCACGGGGCCACATGCACACAAGCTGGCGTCCCGCCCTGCCGCTGCCCGGCCGTCTGTCACTCCTCCAGCCAAACATGGGCCAGAAAACGAAGGCAGCGGCAAGGCAACAAAGACACCACCTCCTCCCTCAGACACACTGAGGGACTGAGGGACGGGGTGGACAGCGACGGGGCGAGCCTGCCAGCCAGCCTGAGGGACACAGGGCGTCCAGCTTGCCGATCCTTCTCCCACAGCTGAGCGCCTCGGGTACAGCAGACCACTCGACGACAGCTACAGACCCAGGAATCCTAGAAATTTACTCGCCAGCTCGCCGGCACGAGCAGCCGTCTGCTTCAGGGAACAAAGGCAAGGCCGTGGAGTGAGACTCCGACTCCGAGTGTTCAGTGTCTCTGTGGTGGGTTCTCCGGTGGCCGTGGCCAACTCCCGGCTGCTGGCCTCGCCCGGCCGGTTCCCTCGTGGAATGTTCCACAGGCTCCTCTGTGTCGGGCCTTTGGAGCCGCCCGCGGGAAGCCTCCAGCAGTGGGGCCTCCTTGCGGGAATGCCCCGGTGGCCAGCTTCTGCTGGATTTCCGGGAGGGCAGAGAACTGAGCCCCAGGGGAAGGAACGAGTTCCTCCCACACCTGAGCCCCTCCTCTGTCCTCACCTGCATCTCAGAACCAGGTGAGCTGGGCATGGCTGTGCCTCAGAATAAAGATAGAAAAGTAAAGAGTCAATCCTGAGATCTTTCTACCAGTCGGGCGTGGCTCGCTCCTGAGTCCCCTCGGAAATGAACATTTATTTGGTTTACTGACATTTATTTAGATTTCCAGTGAAAAGCTCTATAAAATACAGTGACTAATGTGGGGGAGTACAGGCAGACACTCTAGCCGCAGATGTCACAGACTCTAGACTATGGTACAGGCCGTCAGGACTCAATCTTTATCATGTTTGTAACCAGACACGGAGAGACGTCAAATCCCAGAGCCGGGACAGCTGCTCTGGAAAGGAAACCATCCCCCTTCCTCCAGCTCCTCCGGGTCCCCCCTCCCCCGGGTCTTACACGGACGGCTTCCAGAGTTTGTCCCGCGCGTGAGAGATGAGTGCCTACAGGACGTGCGCTGGTGGAGTGGCGGGTACTGAGCATGCAGGTTCGCTGTTGGCGTCATTATAAATAGAAGTCAAACATGAGGTCGCACTTCCCCATCTTCTGTTTATACACCAGGTCAAACTTCTCGTTCATGGAGACGGTGAAGATGTCCTTCCACAGCCCCACTCTTCCTGAAACACAGACAAGAGCAGAATGTGCTGCCTTCACTTGCTGCCAGGCCACCTACGGAACCAAAGGGAGCTTGGGAAATGGATCTGGAAGGTTCTAGATCTATTCCTGGACCCCTCTGAACTTGGCCTACGGGGGCAGGACAGGCCATCTGACCTAGACGAGCTGAACCCGCTTCCTGAGTCGGGCTGTCCTCATGCCCTTTCCTGCGTGGTGAGGCCAGCACCACGAATGCACAGAGCTGAGGCCGCGAGGAGGGCCTTCACCCCTTGTCCCACGCGGGACAAACTCTGGGGCACGGCTGAGGCCCCAGCACAAGGCACACAGCAGGTGGCTCACAGGCCCGGAGGACAGACAGCGTCTGGGGAACGGGTCTATGGCTCTGAGCATCATGTGGATCTGGGTCCTCTGGGACACCACCACTCACTCACAGCGCAACAGCTCCACCAAGGCGGCATTTGCTTCTGGAGAATTCAAAAAGGAAAAAAAATCAGCCAAAAAGGCAGAACATTTTATGGCGAGTAGGAAGCCTCCTGAGCAGGTCAAGGGCGAAGATTTCGGGAAGCCTGCCCATGCAACATGGGGAGAAATTTAAAGGGAATAAAATGGTCACGGTGTAAAGGAGCCTTCACGACCAGATGCCCAACGTGGCCGTGGCAGGACTCCGGGACTGCACACTGACGCAAGTCACGGGTGATCCCCACTGCTGGCACAGTGACAGCACAGGGAGGCTTGGTCAGAAAACGAGACCCTTCCTGGCAGAAGTGAAGGAGCACGGAGCCTGCAGGCTAATGTGCAGGCACAGGTCCACCGTTCACTTACAAAGGCTCAGGGAAAAAGAGGGCGCTCAAAATGACCCCAAAAGCCACTGAGCCCTCTTTCCTCGTTAACTACAAAACCTTCAGCCAGTCTGGTCAAACACAAGTGGCGACCATGAAGAGGCAGCAGCAGGCTTCTGCTCTCCCACCTGCAAGAGCTGTGAACACGTCCCCCCGAGGGCTGCCCGAGGTTTTCAGGAACCACCTGGGGCGCTGAAATGCTCATTTAGGATTCTTTTCACTGTCAGCATCTCTGCGACCAGAGCTCCGACCGTCTCCAGCAAACACCCTTCACTGCTCCGTTAGTAACAGTCGTCCTTGTCCTGGCAGGACCTCAGGTATAAAATTACTACCCTGCGAGTGCTGCGCTGATACACCCAGCGCAAGGATTTCCTCTTTGGTAATGAAAAATTATATGTCAGTGTTGGAAAGAAAAAAAAAAACAAGGAGAATTATTCTTGCTACCCTCTAATGATACCTAAGGGACAAAATTAGAAGCTTCTAGACCAAGCACACTATAAATATATTTTTTCATGATTATTTTTCTCAGCTGAGGCAGCTGAGAGCTCATCAAAGGAGTCACCCACCTGGTTTAGGATTTGGAATCAAGACAGTGCAATTTATGCTGGGACATGAATCAAATTTAAGCAATGCAGCTGGCTACTCAAGCCCCTGCATCCTCACCAACGCAAGGAGGTCTTCTGAGCAAAGAGGCAATGTGCTAAAAGAAAACAAAACCGAAACTGAAATGAAGCGAAACCAAGAGAAACAATGATAAAGCAGACACGTCAGAAGGAGCCCACGGCGCTACCGCAGGACGCTCAGGACGCCCCTTACCACACAAACGAACCGCAGGGGCGTCGGGGAGAAGCTCACATCCGAGGACAACAAAAGACAGAGAAAACAAAACTGAAAAGGAGCAAATAAATTTAAATAAGAAACATTGTGAAGATGCAGCCAGGAAATTAAATCACAAGGTACTTTGGGTTCAGCTATCTTCCTCCTAGAAGAGTCGACTGCTTTGCCTTCACAGGAAGGCACCTTCCACTTGACTTTCAGCCCTTTTCAGGGGAAGAACAGAAAGCTGGAGGAGCTCAGAGGCCTGACCTGAGGCACCCAGGACGCAGCCCAGCTGCCCTCGCCCACCCGGGAGTCTCCCCTGTATCTGAGATCTGCTGCAGGATCCTTCGGCTCCGGGCCTCCCCTGGAACATTCTCATCACCTGGGGAAGCTCCAAATCCACACAGCAGGGAACCAACTTCAGGTCTACAGCACCAAGCGTCACAGGAAGTTCATACTTACAAGAGGGTGGCTTATAAGGCCACAGCCACCACCCTGGGGGTCAGGGGCTTTCAATGCCCGAGCTCTCCACAATCCCCCGTCTGCACGGTTACAGTGCCAATACCGGGGGGAGGGCACGCCACTGCTCCACACAGGCACCAGCCTCCAGAAGACCTCTGTGCCCCTCGCAGAGCAGAGGGCTCTGGAGAAACAAGACACAGGGCAGTGGAACACCGACTAGGGGACAACAGACACTGCAGGGAGGGAAACGGGGGCCCCGGGTCCCTGGGCAGAGGCAAAGGGAGGTGGCCAGGGGCGCGTACCCCGGCCCACAGGCAGAGCCTCGGCGTTGCAGCACTGGTCCACCAGCTGGTGGCAGTGCTCGATCAGGGACTCCAGCTGGGCCTTGTCGCAGGACACCCCGAGGAACCTGGCCAGCTGCTCCACCATTGTCACCAGGTCCTGAAAGACAAGAAAGAGAACAGGCGAGCCCGTCACAGCTGGCGCCTTTACTGGCTGATGACTTTGGCCTGGACACCACAAGGTGCTGTGTGTACAATGCCATACTCAGACCTCGAGGCAAGCCTGACACTGGCCCTGTCTGGAAATAAAACCCAGAGGGTAGGAGAGTGCCCAAGGGCACTCAGCATTCAAGTGGCAGATCTGGAACTCAAACCCAGGTCCTCTGGGGAAGCCAGAAGCAGACTAAGTTCTTGATATAGTTGTGGTCACTTTAAACCAGCACCAAGAAGGAAACATTCACTTTGGAACTGTGCCAGGAGCAAGACCCAGCTTGCTCTCTTCTTCCCCTTCCTTCCACACCTTGGCTGGAATATGGACTGGCACCTGGGGGAGTAAGGAGGTTCCTGGTGACCCCGAGAGGCCCCAGGGCTGCGCCCGCCTCACTGACAGGAGGAGCTGACGTGATCTGAAGCAAGACTCAGTTACATGTGGCCCGGGGGACACACAGCCAACTCTGCGCCCTGTCACTCCATTCGTGACAGCCTCAGGAGAGGACCATGCACACCTGCTCACCATGCATAGCCCCTCCTGCCGCCACACCCTCCCTGGGAAATATGAGGGCACCTCATATTCTCAATCTGTGTAAGCCCAAATGCTCTGCCAAGAACCCTGAGCTGTCACGAGGCAGTCCCCAAACACGGGCAGTGTCAGGGTCAGACATTAGGAGGATGCTGGAGGCTGTCTCCTCCTTGCAGCTTTATAAAGTAAGTGAGCAAACGCAAGCCTCTGGAAGTCCTGTGGTAAAGAAACCTGCCCAACTCCTTTGGTTCACTCAACCTTAGAGAAGTTTCCTGTGAGAGCTGGTTTAAGTGTCAGCCCCTCTCTGGACTCCCCCGGTAATCACCCCTCGGCTCTGCGTGCTGCCTTCCCAGCTGTCCCCCCGTTAGGGGCTCCCGGGACAGGGAGTCCCGTGCACAGGACTTGGCCAGGACCGGGTGCCCGAGAGATGTCAGAACGAACAGAAGAGTAACGAGAGCTCCTCTCACGGCCCTGCCACTCGGCATTTCTATTTAAGAGAAAAAAACACCGAGAGATGAAAGACAGCTGGCCCTCGGAGGGGACACCAGAAGAGAGGGCTGCAGTCGACTGCCGACACAGACTGCTGGAGTGGCCAACAGAACCCTCACTGGGACGTCTCACTGGTATAATGTCCACCTTGGGAAGGAAGGCACACTTGCCAGTGTGCACCCAGCCACACGCCACAGGTCGGTTTCACAGCTGTGAAACCCAGCTCTGCAAGTCAGCTCTGCAAGCGTGGCGGCCAGGCTACAGACTAGCTCCGGACGCCTTGCCTGACCCCCGGAGCTCCACCCACAATCTGTGAACTCGGGGCCGCAGCACCAGCCTGCGTGGGCCATGGCACAGAGCCAGCGTGCCCAGGCCTCCCAGCACAGCCAGGTGGCCGCACTCAGGGCTCTTCCCCTGCAGCTGGGGAGAACACCCCGAAGGGCTGCGGCAGGATTCGCGGGGCCACACGCTGGGGAGCCCAGAGGGGGTGAGAAGGCGGGTGGGGGTGGGACCGCCCTGGGTGGCCACGCCAGGCAATGAAGGCACCAGTGCTGACTGTTAACGTGAGACACCGAGCGAGCACACGCCAGGCCCGCTCCACACGCCTGGAGACCAGTGACCTTCACTCAGGACTAGTTTTCTGGGGTAAAATGTAAATAATGTGAATTCCTAAAAATGCGACGTGTAGTCACTTAATCTCTATGAAAGACATCCTTGGCCATTACTGAGGTTTCTGAAAAAAGCATATAAACTACTGCTGATTAGAAGCTAACACCTTGACCCTCGCAGGAATGCCATTCAGTCACTCGGACAGGCTAGGCAGGACAGCAAGTTGAGGCCGAGACAGGCGGGCAGGGCTGGCGTCCTCACTTCGAGGGGAGCCCCGTCCAGCCCTCCCCCGAGCCGCTCAGGCAGAGAACGGACATGCGCCTCTAAGCGCCTGGCGCGGAGGCTGGAGCAGCCAGGCAGGAGCAGTATGCCGGCTTTAAAGTTCCTGTAGACTTTGCATCCCGCTCCCTCGTGGTCAAAGCTGAAATCAAAGGCTCTAAGTGACTCATCCAGGGGTCAGCGAAGCTCCGGGGAGAGCCTGCCGCCAGCCCAGCCCCTGCAGGTGCACGGCACGATGGCGAGGGCTCCTCCTCCTGCACATGTGCACTGCTGTGTACAGGTAGGCACTACCCTAACAGCGGGGCCGCCGTACCAGTGACCCAGCATACACCCAACAAAAGAAAGACTTAAGCCCACTGAGACACAGGACTGTTCACGGCCCTTTATCCTGACCACCCCAAAATGGAAACAACGCAAATGCCCAGCCACACTGGATAGATAAGTGGTGGCACATTCCTGCTGCGGTGGAATACTACACGGAAAGGAAAAAGAACCAAACTCTGCTACACACGGCATGGATGAGTCTCACAGACCCCAAGTACATGCTGTGTGACTCCATTCACAGGAGGTTCACAAACAAGCAGAACTAATCTACAGCGACAGAGGTCAGAAGAGTGGTTACTTCCAGGAAGTGGGGGTGTTAACTGGAAGAAGCTAGAATGTTCTGGATCTTATCTGGGTGGTGGTTACATAGATATATACACATAAAAATTAAAGTCTTTAATCCACCTAGAATTCTCCTGTAGGTGTGCACTGAAGCAGAGGACAGGCATCCACCCAAAGTGACATGGGGCTGGAAGGGACACGATCTGACTGGTGTTGGCATCATCAGTTGTGCTGCTGTGCGAGAAAACAGGGTAGGCAGCCTGGGAGGAAGCAGGGGCCACATGGGCATCTGCTGTCATAATCCAGGCCAGAAAGGATGCTGACTCAGGAGGGAGGTGGGGGCAGAACGGGGGAGAAATGGTCAGACAAGAGAGAGGTTTTGAAGGTAGAGCCAACAGGATTTAAAAATGGACACAGGGTGTGAGAGGCAGAGAGAAGTCAAGGATGATTCAAGAGCCCAGCCTGAGCGACAGACCCAAAGGATGCAGCTGGCTGCCATGAACTCAGATGGGACAAAGTGTGGATGAACTGAGGGGGAAGCTCCAGAGGTTGGCTTGGACACATTAAGTTTGCAACCTCTCCCAGATGTCTAAGTAGAAAGGGGCGGTGGGCTGCTGGAGATGCAGTCTGGAGAGGCCCACGTCTGGCCTGGGGGCTCTGTGTCTCGAGAGTATTTAATGACCAAAGAATGGATGAGGTCACCAGGGGAGGGGGTGTGGATGGAAAGAGAAGAGAGCCGAGGACTGAAGGCTAAGGCCCAGGTGTGCTGTCAAGGAGAAGGAGCAGCCAGGGACGCGGGGACGCAAGACAGTGCAGCGTCCTAGAAAGCAGGGGAAGGGGCAGATGGCCCATCACGTGGTGGCAGGAGGCCGCGTGAGCTGAGACCCAGCAGCGACTGCTGGACTGAGCAACTCGGAGGTCACGGGTGACCTGACAGAGCAGCTGGAGCGGGCCCAGGAGTGGAGACGACTCTGAGGGGTTCTACAGTAAAGCGGGCGGAGAACGGGAAGAAGCGGAGAGGGAGGGGGTTGGGGAAGGCTGGCTTCCGCTTCTCGTGAGAAAGGAGAAACATGAGGATGCTCCTCCATAGACGGCAGCCCCAGCAGAGAGGGTGACACCGCTCTAGAATCAGCTGCTAACACACACGAAGAACTTCAGACAGGACTTGGCACACAGCAAGGCCTGTAAAAGTGTTGATGACAACACTGCTGACGA